AAAAAAAAAAGCATTGTGGAGCTCTTTATCTCCAAAGTCCTCTATAGTAAGAGACTTTGTATTATGTCATTTGTGTTATTTATATATTCATTGCATTTTTAATTTAATATACAACAAACAAATTCTCTTCATCATATTTTGCAAGGGTATCTAAGCTTTATTGTCTTTTCTGTGCTCCTCTGCTCTTTTGTCCTATTATTATTTGGTGAACTCACATATTATTTCATTAGTATTAACTGTAAATTAGAGAGAGAAAGCATTCTTCCTCCACGAATGAGCGCAAGCAGCTCAAAAAGAAAATATAGATAAATGAGCAACGCAAGGACTAATGCCAAAGGAGTTTATAATAAAGGCAACTTGTTAACAAACTAGCACAAAAAAGCGAACGCACAGACAGATGAGTACGAATGCCAAGAGCTATGAGTGTGCGTGAGTGTGAGGGTGACTGTGTGTGTGTGCATGTGTGTGTAATTTGTAGATGTATGCGTGTGCGTATGCGAGCCGGCAAAAAAGTTGTAGTAATTGTGAACTCTACAGCCGACATTGCGTATACGTCATGTGCTGTATAAGAGTGAGCTGAGAGCGCGTATAAGAGAGAGCCAGAGAGCAAGAGAGTGAGAGGTACAGAGAGAGAGGGTGTGAGACGTCTATGACGTAGACAGCAGCAGCAAGGAGTAAAGGAAAGCAAAAGGAGGCTGTGTTTTCACTTTCAAAGGTAAACACGACACACACACACATAGACACACACGCACATACACACCTGTAAGGAGTCGATGGACAGCGCGTGTGGATTTTTTGAGGGCAAAGCGAAACAAAATGCGAACAAAGGGGGAAACAGTGTACCAAACACGCAAACACCGAGCAACATTGAGGTAAACGAAGCAAAAGGCCAAAGTAGAAAGGCAAAAAGCGTTTGCGTTTTTGCTTCTTTTCTTATTCATTTTTTTTCTTATTTCTTTTTCTTTTTTTTTTTGGGCATAGTGTGAAAAGGGCGTGGAGCGCGGTTGAAATGTTGCCCAAACATGCAACACGGTATCCGCAAATCTGAAAAGTCAGTGACAGATAAAACACGCTCGAATAATGAAAGAAAACTGAACATAATTAGGAAAAGGAAGAGCTCTATAAGAAAGAAAATACAGCAAGCACAGTTAAAAAGAAAAAAAAGATGTGACAAAAACAAAGTCTAATGCACAATTAGTTGCTTGGGCTTGGCTGTGATTTCATTTAATTACGTAGCTCGGCAATTATTTATATTAAGAGTATGTATATTACATATATATATTATAAATTATTTTTCTACTAATCATATTATGAGTATTATAATATACTTATTTAAATATATTAAATTTTTTTTAATCGGCTATAAATTTGTTAACAGTTTGCTAACAGGTGATTAACACAAAAAACGATATTTATTAACGGAATATCTATCAACAGAAAATCTATTGCTGGTAATTATATTAATTTCTGAATAAATGAAATAGTAATATATATTATATTAACATTTTAAAGTTCAATTTTGCTCCACAGCTTTATATATTCCATGCTTTAATGATTACTCATTTTTTATACAAAATATAAGCTTACATTTACCTCTTAAAATTGGGCTTCTCATTTCTGTATTTAAGGTTTTTACTTACCCCAGACATAATTTACCTTACACCTTACGCTGAAATTTTACCTTTACCTTTCGGTCAGCAATTGATAGTAAATTTGCGCTCTAGACTTTTGAGCTATAATTACCTGAACTCTGCTAGAATTTGCCGTGATTTTACAAAGATATACCCAACCTGACTTTAAAGCAAACGAATGTAATGTGACGCTGTCTACTATTTTATTTAAAGCATATACTTATATATATATATTTAAGTTTTTCCCTGTTACCTTATGCTTAATTGCACGTTCTTAAAACTTCCCTTAGCGGGCCAACACAGTTTTTGTGTTTACTTAACTGTCTGGTATTAAAATTTCCTTTACATAAGCAAGTGCCTAAGGCTCTTTAAAGTAAACAAATTTTATGTAAGCCCAGCACTGTAAAAATTTCCTCGCCTTAATTTGCTGAGGGCTTTAACAAAATTTAAGAATGCTCATAATTCTTTTATTTGCCATGAATTTCTTTGGCCTTAACGCAACTTTTTGGCACAGAATTCTTACTTGAATATAAAACAAATGTTTCGCTGTCGAAATGTAGCCTTGGTTATTTTAGCTTGATATGAAAAAAGGCGAATGAAAAGTTGGAAAAAATTTTAGATTAATTAAATTTATGCATTAAATTACAATTTTGGTAAAATGTAGCCACCTGTTAAATTTGTGTGTGTTTGTGTGTGTGTGTGTGCAGGGCTGGCCGCGCAATTTGCTGCTGTTGTGGTGGCTGCAACTGCTGCTGCTGTTGCTGTTGCTGCTGTTGTTGCTGCTGCTGCTACTGTTGCTGCTGCTGCTTGGCAGGTCCTTGCAATCTGCGGCCTTTGTCGGATGCCGCGAGCCCGCGGCGCCAAAGTGCATTGTAGCAAAATTGCTTGGCAGGGGCAGGCAATGCAACCCAGGCCAGGCTAGGCCAGGTCGGGCCCCCATCTCGACGCCATTGCATGTGCAAATCATAGCGCAGAATGCGGCTGCGCTACATTAAATTTCAATTTCATGTTCATTTATCGGAGGAGACGAAGGGGGAGGAGGAGCTGAGCGGGGAGGCAGCTCTTCGCTGGGCACGGAAGTCACAATGTCAGTGGCTGAACTTAGCCAAGGCCGCAGCTAGGCAAAAACTTATGGGCCAAGTGAGCCAAAAGTTGTCAAGGAGAGAAGATGTACTTGGTTGGCAAGGGGGAAGCCGGGGAGCGCAGGGCATGAGTGCCAGCCAGCGATAGTAAATGCCGCGTTTACGCAAGTGTTTGCCAAGTAAATATGTAAAACCAACAAGAGCAATAGCTGTAGCACGCACACAGACACACGCACATACACACACAGATGCACATGCATGTTGCATAAAAATTAAGCAAACTGCACTTGTAGCACGAGCAACAACAACAACAACAACAACAGCAGCAACAGCAATAACAATATCAAGTCACAGAAACTTACTGCCCAAAGCCCCAAAAATGCAACAGTCGACAGCAACTTCCGCTATGCGCTGTGAGAGCCCGAAACGTCACGCCGAGCTGCACATCCTTCTTGGCCAACACCAATGCGGCCCAACGCCCTTTCGAGCAGCGGCAGCAACAGCAGGAGCCGCAGCGACAGCAGCAACAAAAGCCTAAAAGGAAGAAAATGAAAATGAAGCAACAGAAGCAACAGAGGCAGCGGCAGCAGCAGTTGGCTGGCTAGCAATAACTACAGTGAAAATTCGTTAAGCAGAACATTTAATATTATTTTTTGGCTAAAATATTAAATTTACTTAGACAACTTGACAGATTGATTGAGTATGGACTGAGAGATTGAGCAATGATTGAAAGATCAATCAACATTTTGGTTATTGCTTCAATGGTTGTTCAACGGAATTTTAGAATCGCTTGATTGATTACGTAACTGACTAACTGATTCACTGGCTAGAATAGATTAGAGTCTCTAAATGTCTAATTGATTGATTAAACTCTTTAACAACCTGATTGATTGACTAGATTAGATAAGAGTGTCTGAACTGATTGAGTAAAAGATTCATTAACTCTTTGATTGTTACTTCTTAATAATTGCTTGTCTGACGACCTAACTGATAGTCAATTAGCTAATTGATTGATTTTCTTATACTTAGCTGACTAGGTGATTGACTGACAATAAAACCTGCTGATTGATAAACAGCTTGATTAACTGTTTGAAACTTCGCTTCCATTACGATTTACTGACAGGCTGTTGCTGACTGATTGACTAGCGATATTAAGATTAAATCAGTCAAATATATAAAATTATCAAGACAGTAGTAAATTAATCAACGAAGCAATCATAAGTGCTTGCTTCAACTAAGCAAAGTTTTATTAACTAAATGATTGACTGATTAACTAATAAATTTACAGGGCGACTGATTGACTGATTGGCTTCTTTAGCTAGTGCCACATTGATTGACTTCCTAACGAACTAGCCTGCTGTGCGTTGCAGTTTCCTGTTTAAAGCAAAATTTTGCCGCAATGAAAATAATGAACGAATTGCACTCGTACAAAACTTTCCGAACGATCTTGAACTCTAGTATACTTTAGCCAGAAGCCACCCGCAGAAAAAAAAAATAGAACGACCTTTCAAGTGTCAGCTACAATTGTACAAAATGAGATATTGAAAAGTTTTGTACTTTATTATTATGTAGTATATATTTCGCCAAATAGAATACTTAGAATTAATATTTTGACATTTTCGCTTCTCAGAAATTTTCAATTTCCGAGCGACCATTGTACTGGGCGACCGGGCGAAATGAAGAAGACGAAAGCAAGAAGCAGCAGAAGAAGAAGAGGACGATGATGGGCTGGGAATATTGTGTTGCAAAGTTTTGCAGCAAGTTTTTAGTTTTTGCTCAGCTTTCTGTTGCTGTTGTTGTTGTTGCTGCTGCTTAGCCAAAGGGCTTGAAGCATGTGCAACTTGGCCAGCTGTAACTTTAAGCCCCAAACGTTGTCGCTGCTGCGTACGTGTTGGTGTTCATTACGTACGTGTCCTTTTTGCCATTTTACTCAAGTTGTCAGTGTAGCGGTGTAGCGGGCAGAAGCAGCAGGAGAAGGACGATATAGAGGATGAGCAGCAGCTGTAGTGGCAGAGTGGAGTAGATGCGCTGCAAAATAAGTTGAAAACACACGCACGTGCCAGCTGGAAAGGCTGATGATAAGATTTGACGCATTCTGATACTTGATTAGACTCTAAGCAGGTAAGCACATCTCTCACCAAACATTCTCTATTCAGGGCATAGTTGAAATACTATCAGCTGGACTATAGCAAATAAAATTAGCTAAGTTAAGAGTGATGAAGGTAGGAAAGATAGGTGAAAGAGATATTCTATATCAGTAGATGCTACAGCATTACGAATATAACTAGCTGAGATTATATATAATATTAATATTACTTTCCATGGACTACCCTGTAATTATAAATTACATATAATATAACTCCAATTTATTCAACCTGTTTATCATCAAGCAGTTCATGTAGTGAGTCAGACTCCTTAAATAACAATATAAAACAAGTAAGAAAGCTCTAGTCGAGACTGCYCGACTACRRRATCCCCTGAABYCTTSGAGCAATAGATATTTCAATAATTTTTCGCGTCTTTCAGCTTACACAAGAAACACGCACACACACACACACAGGCATACATATACACACACGCATACAGACACACATACACACACACACACACGCATACATACACAAACGCATACACACACACATACACATACACACACACATACACAAACACATACACACACACATACACAAACACATACACACACAAGCACCCACGCATAAACACGCATGGGCTGCAGTGTGCGCTTACTATGAGAACTTAATTGTTTAATAACTTTTTTTATGGACGTACGATCTTCATGAAACTTTCAGATTATGATTATAACATGGATATGCATGTAATTGCCAAAGCACAAGTCTCTAGTATTTGAAANCTGAAATCGACGCGTTCATACATACGGACAGACGGACAGACGGACAGACGGACAGACGGACAGACGGACAGACGGACAGACGGACAGACAGACGGACAGGGCCAAATCAACTCAGCTCGTCACCCTGATCAAGAATATATATACTTYGTGGGGTCTGCCACGCCTCCTTCTCCCTGTTACATACATTTCAACAAAACCATTATACCCTGATTTCCCATTGAAAATGGGTTCAGGGTATAAAAACAATGCTCTCCACTTTATTCCAGTTGAATACCCTGTAATTAAATACTTTTTCAAGTGCTTCAAAAAAGGTTGATTATTCTCATAAAAAAAAATATATATATATATAAATCCGTTGCTCATAATTAACGCAGATTTTGTGCTGTTGCAATTAGTGGAGCTGCTCTATTTAATTGCCATCTTTTGGCTGTCGCCTGAGTGGAAGCCAACTGCGTTCAGTGTCCTGCCTCCTGCCAGACAACTGTCAGTTGGTTCAGCTCAGGTGGTTGCCATTCAGCAGCACCAGCACCATCTCACTCAATGTGGCTCAAGTTTCAAAGGCATTGAAAAGTGCACTTGACCGCAATTTGCAAAGTCTTTGCAGCAGTTGCAACTTGCTCTTGTTGGTGCTTTGTGTGGTGCTTCTCCTGCTGCTGCTCCTCCTGCTGCTGCTGCTGCTGTTGGTGACAAGTGCTTTGGCTACCTATGCGGTGTCAACAACTTCAAAATGAGTTTTTTGCCACAACACACACAAAAACACAAACACACTCACAGCCACTCGCGCCCACACAAACACACTGTTGGATCATAAAGTTATTTTTTTTTTTATATTTTGCGCGTTTTACGAGCTGTTTTACCTGCAGCGCTTTAATAAACACGATTCAGCAGTTGAGTTGTTGTTGCTATTGGTGTTGTTCTGGGTATTATGGCTGCTCGGGGGCGCATTCGTGAGCTCGTGCGAGTTGCTGCAACTGCAGTTAACACGCGCAGTAATCCACCAAAATAACTATAGCATACTTATGTGCTGCATCATTTTCCTTATCTGAATAGCTGTTGCTCTTGCCAGACTAACTAAAGCTGCAACTGCTGCAGCTGCTGCTCCAGCTCCAGTTGCTGCTTCAGCTCCTTCTGTTTTGGTTTTTTCGCTTCTGCTCATACTCTTGCTGCAGGAGTTATTCCTACTGCTTGTGCTCCAACTCATTCTGCTGCTGCAGCTATTTCTATTCCTGCTTCTACTTCTACTCTAACCACTCCTTCTGATTTTGCCTGTTGTTGTTTTCGCTTCTGCTCATACTCCTACTGCTGCAGTTACTTCTACTGCTGCTGTTCCAAGCTCCTACTTCTATTCTCACTCGGTCTCCTACTGCTGCTAGACCTTCTACTCCTACTTCTACTCCGATTTCTACTACTATTCTTACTTCTACTCCTATTCCTACTTCTACTTCGGCTCTTCCTTCTATTCCTACTCCCACTTCTACTTTTACTTCCATTTCTACTTTTAATTCTAATTATATTTCTAATTCTACTACTACTCCTATGTCGACTCCTATTTATACTCCTATTCCAACTCCTACTTCTACTCCTACTTCTTATCCTACTTCTACTCCTATTCCTATCCTGAATCCAAGTTCTACTCCTATTTCAACTACCTCTACTACTTCTATTCTCATTCCTATTACTATTCCTACTTCTACTTCTACTCCTATTTCTACTCTTATTTCTACTCCTATTTCTACTCCTATTTCTACTCCTATTTCTACTCCTATTTCTATTCTTACTTCTTTTCCTCCTATTCTTACTGCCACTTCTACTCCCACTTCTACTTTTCCTACTTCTTCTCCTATTTCTACTCCTATTTCTATTCCTACTTCTACTTCTGCGTCTACTCTTACTTTTATTCCTACTTCTAATCCTGCTCCTACTCCTAGCTCTACTTCTACTTCTACTCCTATTTCTACTCCTATTTCTATTCCTTTTCCTACCCACTACTGTTCCTCTTCACATTTCATCTTCTCCTCCTACTTCAACTTTCAATGTTGTTGCTGTTACTCCTATTTCATTAACTACTACTACTTCTACTCCCATCTCTGCWCCTCCACACCGGCAGCAATGTAATCAAAGCTTTTGGCTTTATGTTTGTATAAACTTACTTTTCATGTGGCTTGGTCGATCGCTTGTGTGTGGACGTCGTGCGTTTTAATTGCCTGCTCTAAGTCGTTTTAGTCCTTGAACTAATACAGCGACATAAGCTCTTAATCATTTCAAGCAATTTGCGCACGTTCGCTGCAATTCAATTACAACTTTCCTTAACACATACACACTCACACACACACACATGTGTTTAAGTACTTATACTCTTGGCAGCTAGCATGTCCTATTTGCTCACTCACACTCACACACACTCAAGTAGCTTTAAGTATATATCTGCTAAAAGTATTTGATAGATATGTTGCTACACTTGGCTACTTTTTTCTTTCCTTCAAGTTTTGGCTCTTCAAGGTTTATAATCAGCCGTTGCTGCTTAATACTTTTAATACCTTTCGAATTGCTTGGCAAGTTTTGTTCATTTTTTATACGACTCGAGCAGGCTTCAAAAAATACGTATAATGCTCGAGCAAACAGTGTGCTGGCACTCATGAGGCATATTAACTGTTACTCGCACACTCACACACACACACAAACAAACACACAAACGCACTCGTACAGACTCTTGGCACTCGTTGAGCAAACGATATTTATTCGATTTATGGGATTTTTTGTATTTTTTTTTTTTTACTTTTGGGAGCACTAAGAAATTTTTTAATAAAACGCATTTTATTGACATTATCCGATGCAGAGAGTGAGTCAGAGAGAGAGAGAGAGAGAGCGAGCGAGTGAGTGGGTAAGAGAGAGCTAACGATATTAATAATGTGTAGCAGCTAATAAAGGCACGTATATTTACACATGCAACACACACACACACACACACACACTGGTGTTTGCTGTTGCACATTTGAAAGTATTGGGATTTTTGTGGCTTTTATGCCTTCTGGCTGTGGCTTATGACAGGGCTTATTGGATTGTCCCCCACTCCCCCCAAACACACACACAAAATCTACATGACTTAACATTGTCAGGTCGTACGCACAGTTATTGATTGATTTTTCACACAGTTTTTAAGCCAATAGATGAATTATGCATATAGTGTATCGCCTAGCTGTGGGCCATATCACAAAATGTGTTGGCAATTTCATGTATTTATGTGTGTGTGGAAGCCGAGCAATTATGGGTTAAGGAAGAAAATAAAAAAATTATATAAATTGATTAAATGTGTGTATATAATTGAAATTGAAATACAAATGGGGTAAGCTTTCGGTACATATTTTATAAATAAATTAAATCTCTCTTTGATTACCTGCTTAATATATGTATTAAATTTGAGTACTTGAGTACTGCAGGCTAACAATTTATTTAGTTTTGAGCTTAGTTCTTTAACGAACTCAGGCTCTAATTATATAAAATTATTAAAACATATTATATAATTATAGTAAAATCTTATATATTTTCAAATTTTCGTTTGATGAATTATGAGAATTTTTTTAAGCTTTAGATTAATATATAGTTTATATTATATTATAGTTGTCTTTTCAAAGTATTTCCCCAGCTCCCTTTAAATAAGTAATTATTGTTTTGCTTATGAAATGTCATTTAATTTATTGATGACGCACATATCCTTTATATTTATGTCATGAAGCCTATAGACTACAGATCTGGACAATTATTTATGCATGAGCCTAAAAAGAGATTGTGAAACCATTTTTAAATAAATAATTATGTGGCTCATGCTTATACGTCATTTAATTTATTGATGACGCAAAGCTGGATAATAATTCATGCATGAGATTAAAAAGAAATTGTCAAAACTAAAGGCCACATGACTTCGACTTACAACTTTTTCTTTTGGTTGCCGTTATTTTGCTGTTTTTTGGTTTTTTAGGGCAGCAGCTGCTGACACCTGATAAGTGCAGGTTTTGGCAGTTGCAAGTGCAACAATGTGGCAAGCAGCGGTGACAACAATGTCAGCTGCAAGAAGAACAACGATAAGGTAAGGAGCAGGAGCAGCGGGAGCAGCAGGAGGAGTGGAAGCGCTGTGCGTGTGCGTGTGCGAGTACAACAGCTCAACTGGCTGGCACTGTAATGCGAGCATTGCATGATGTATCGATTTTGTTGTTGTTGTTGTTGTTGTTGTTTTTGGCATGGCAGGTTACCAGCTGCCTGGCTGTTTGTCATTGGAAGCACTACCATTTCTGGGCCATTTGTCGGCTTTCGCCTGTTCCGGTGTTGATAATGCCAATGCGTAATCCATCTCCATGAGTGAAACACACACACACAAGCATACTCATACTCATACGCACACACACACGCACAACGATTCGTATACCGAATCTGTATCCGATTTGTTGTCCGTTGCCGATTCCGAATTCTGCAACACTTGACACAATTTGCACTTGAACTTTGGCATTTGGCCGATGCGCTGGCATTTGCTTACGTGCGTGCGGTTGAAAAGTTTGTCAATTTTGAGTTGAGTTGAGTGCAAACAAATTCAAAGCTTCAACCGACCGCCCGACCACCCCTGCCCCACACACACACACACACACACACACACAACAATGCGGCAAGAGTTGTGGCATATTAATATATGTAAATATATATACTATATATGCTTGTCCGAATTTGAATAAAACGCACTCGAAACGTCTTGATAAAACACAATTTTTAATAACTTTGACATCAAGTACACATCGAGAATTTGATTTGTTGTTGTTGTTGTTTTTGTTTTTTTTTAGCAATGACACACAGACGAGAAACTTGGTAATAAACCGCTAGGCTTACAAACTACTTACTAGCTAATATACATGAGTAGTGTGAATATTGATATTTATCTATTTATATTTATCTATTTATATATATACATATCTATCTATATGTA